TAACATTTTTCTTTTCTGTGGCAAACTGGCAGGTGGCAATAACCATGCCCCCTCTGACCCTCTCCAATTTGACTCTTTATCCTGAACCTGGAAATGCGTACTCGTACCTCAAACCGTGGGTTACAAATTGAAGACTAAAGTTCAAAGGAGCAAGTCGAGCCACTGTGAACTTTGCCTTATCTTCAGCGACCATGACAATCTGCTCCACCTTTTTCCCTCAAATTCCTGCCCGTTTCACAGCAAGACCCATTTCTTTTTTTCCCACAAAATCACTGCTTTCTCTTTCTTTCAGGGCTTTCTCTTCTCAGGCCTCTAATGCTTCAACCAAAGGTACTTCTTTTCTTCTTCTATTTCCTCAAATTTGCTGGGTTTCTCCGCAATAAGATAACGTATCCAAATTTGTTTGATTTCATGATTATTGCTAGTGTTGAGGATTGTGTCCTTTGTTTTAACAGCAGTTCTTTTTTTTTTTTTTTCTTGTTCATGAGCTAAATTGTTTTTCTTCAAAAAAAAAAAAAAAAGAGGAAGAAGAAAGAAGAAATGGGTTGAAAAGTTGAATTGATGGGTGAATGTAGAATTGCCACAAGAGAGAAATAGAGTAAAATTGTTAGATTCCTGAATGCTTGACCACTTTTAAAATTGCTTTCTATGGTTGGTTCGCTGGTTTTTGTGAGGTTCTGGAGAATTTACCTTGTAACGCATCTATCCAGTCTTGATTTGTAAAGTATTCTTTACTAACATGTATTGTGCTTGACTACCTTCTTGTGACAGTACCAAATTCTAATACTTGATACGGATACAAAAATGGGAAGAAATAATTCTAGTTTTCTTTTTTCCTTTAAAATGAGATTTTTTTTTTTCTTGTCATTAGATTTATTTTACATCTCACTAAGTATCATCCATCTCAAGCAAGAGCTAATTTGAAAGCAGCAGATGAATTGCCAGGACGGATTGGCTTTCTTGGACTTGGAATCATGGGTTCACCAATGGCACAAAATCTCATAAAAGCTGGGTACGACTTGGTTTCTCTGACTAATCACTATTAAGAGAATTACCAAACTGATGGTAAAAATTGTGTGATAGGAAGTGTTGTTGAGTGACACTTTGCTAAAAACCTTACGTTTTAGGGTCATGTTTTCTGTGTGTCTTTTTGTGTCTACCTTCGTATCCGAAGCTCCAAGAGAATTCCCAGTATCTGGCCAAAAAAAATACCAAAAAGATTAGACCTTAATGGCTTATTTATTTGATACTCAGATATGCTTATAGCTTAACCTTCTAATTGGTATGTTGCAGATGTGATGTGACTGTGTGGAATAGGACTAAGAGCAAATGTGATGCTCTCATCAACTTGGGTGCGAAGTGAGTTATCATTACTTGTCTTTCATCTGATTAGCTAATAGGTTCTGTTGATTGCTATTTACACTTTTGTTGATGACCAAAATTTGAAATGAAGGTATTCTCTCATTTTCTAATGCAGATATAAACCCTCTCCTGAAGAAGTTGCTGCATCCTGTGATGTCACATTTGCCATGCTTGCTGATCCTGAAAGTGCAGTGCGTATGTTTCATTTTTAAGTATTTTTTATTGTTTTCTCTGTTGGACTGTTACTAAGATATTGCCAATTTGTTGATGCTATATCAGATTGATGTTGCTTGTGGGAAGCATGGAGCTGCAAGTGGGATGAGTCC